GATCCCACACGTTCTAGTTTGTTGATCTGTCACGTCCTCTTGTTTTGTTATAGATTGATTGACTTGCTTTGATACACGTCAATCAGATAGAGAGATAATGTGTTCGTATTTGTGTGATATGAACTAGTTGATCTAGAATTGTTGTGTTGTTGTGATCTCTTAGCTGTTTGACCAAAGAGACTTGGACGTCCTTCTAGATTTCAGTTAGCTTTGAGGTTGTGCTGATTTATCGATATAATCTATTGCTTCTGAAACTTCTCTTAGTGCCTAGAAAGGTGTTAACCTGCACTGGCCTGATTAAGAGCTTTGGAGTTGAGATTGGATCTCAAGAAGCCTACCGTGAATTAGCTTATTCTTGCTTTTTCTTCTTCCTAAAAGCAAAAGTGACATAGAAATATTTGTCTTTCAAGCTGAGCGAAACTCTTTTTTTGTTTGTTGTAATGTAGATTTTATTGCCTAAGAATGGATAGTTGTGTCCTTTGAGACTTGTTTTGTGTGGAAGAGTTTTTGTGATTTTTTCACGAAAATTGTCAAAAAAGGAAATTTTTTGAAAAAATGTGGATCAGTGGAACTAGTATAATTTGTAAAAATTATAAATGATATATAAATACTATAAAGATTTATATAATAAAGACAAGCTATGTTAACTTGAGTATAACTTAAAAAAAATAAGATTTTTATTTTTTGAATTGATTTATTTTTAAAAATAAAATTATTTTATTTTATTTTTTTGTTGGTTTTTTTTATATGATTTTTTATTTTATTTAAACTTATAAACAAAATAATTAATTATAACAATTAATAGGTTATAATTAAAAAAGTCTTTATTTAAAATACTACAAAGTATTAAGTAGTTTTTATAATCAAATTTATAGATTAAAGAAAATTTGGTTTAATTTAAATTCTATATACTGTATATAATACGTAAGTATTTTTAGTTTAGTGATATAATAAAAATTCTTTATCAAAGTCTCTTTTTGAAAAAATAAAAATTTATAGCTTCTCGTATTAATAAAGATACCATCAAAAAGTCATGTCCAATCATATTTATACTGGCACGTGTGACATCATCAAAGTTATAAAAATGAAACTGAATAAACAATACCAAAAAATCCCCGGAGAAAACATGTCTTCAAACGAGTTATGTGATAACGAATACGAATTACCTTCAGAGAGCACTTTGGTCGCCAGTATAAATTCTAACCACAATAAGAGTCGTGAAAGGTCAAAATCGATAATAGTAATTGATAGTGACGACTCTGACGACTGTGAAAAAAATTTTCAGTCTGAAGCATTGTTTACTCCTAAAAATGTCGAGTCGCCATTTCTGTGCTCAATTTGTGGAGACGACCTCTCATTGTATAGCTCCGTAATACGTGAATGGCATTTGAATAATTGTCTCGACATTCTCGAGGATAAAACTGATGACGCGGTCACTGAGTCCAAAAAAATGAAAACTACCTCTGCGGTGAAAAATTATATCGACAATTTAATGAAAGATATAGCAAAGTCGTACATGGTAAGAGTAAATTATGATATTCAGCAGGTCGGCTCGAGATGATTTGACGTTCGGTTAATGACACTATATTAAGTATAGTCTATCCCACTTTCCTGACGACTTCAA